GAGAGAGAGAGAGAGAGAGAGTAGGAGAGAAGGGAGGTGGGGAGAATCCGTGTACAAAGGCGAGAATCCGATCGAGCAACTGGATTCGCATGAAAATGCGGCCTTTGGCAAAGTGAGAGTCACTGTTCGGCGACGTGACGTCAACCAAGGTCAACCGAACGTTTCAACGGGACTGAAGAGTTGATTCAGCATCTAGCAATTTTCTTTCTATGAAATTGGCCGAGCGAACGAGGCTCGAGTCGAGATCCGTTCGAGGGGGAAATGATTTCCGGAATGCGATGCGATGCGATGAGATGTCCTAATTTTCTTTCGCATGTTTTTCCCAACTTGACGCGCTTCTTTTCGAATATATTTTGCAATACACGTTCTCTCCCAAACAACTTGTTTCTCTTCTTCGTAGTTTCCTACTTTATCCTCGCGAACATTTAATCCGTAGAATTTCGCGAACGATGGAGGAGTTTATGGCGAATAGAAGAGTCGAGGAGTTCGAGTTACGACGAATTTGGGGATGGATTTTTTCTTCTTCTTTGAAAGTTTTTCTTGAAAATAAGAATTGTTCTCTTTTGATTTAATTTAATATTTTATTCAAGTTGAGAAAGAATTTTTTTTTTACGAATTTTCTTCCGTAATCTTTGCAATTATTTTTTTTTTTNTTTTTTTTTTTTTTAAGTATAAAATAGACGGTGTAGAATAAACGGATAGTAATATAATAGTAACCAAAGATAATACGACAAATAGAGCAGGCTTAATCGGAAGAATAAATCACCATTGGAATGACAATATCCACTTGTGGGAAATGGCAATTAAGCGCGCAGGAAGCCTCCCGTGTAGAACATAGTAATCAACGTTAGAGGCAATTTATCTGAATATTAAAATGTAAAACTTAAATTCCGGTTATTTCATATATTTTGTATCGTTTAGATTCGAACGATTAAACGCGTATTTGCATTTTTTTTCTTCTTTTTTTTTTTTTTTTCCCTTCCCGTTATCCGTCTATGAATGTATTATGAGTAGTTAATTTAAAAAAAAATATATATATATATATATTTCGTCGCTAGAAAGGTAGAAATTGATTCCTTAAAAGTCTGTTATGGTGTTCAATACCGTGGAAAATTTTAGACTTCCCGTAAAACTTTGAAAACGGGTCAAAAAGTTACGTCGTACCGTTCAATTACGGGAAAGTAGCGATTGCGATTATAAAATATTTGGAAAAAATATTTTTTCCTTCTTTTTCTTCCTTCCTTTCCTCTTTCTCGTTTTATCGTTGAAGAACCTTGATTATTATCGTTTTCTATATTTTATTTTAGTACGAAATGCGATCTCTATTCCTTTTAATTGAAAAAAATTCGAACGAATAATTCTACGACATCTCTCGCGTTTGAAAAACGTATAAGATATCGCTGTCCATCTTCGTCGATCGAATATTAATCGTTGATTTTTCGTTTCATCGATTAACCGGATACGATTAATTAAAACGGATTTCCGATTTTAACGTGGAATAATAATTCGATAAGGTTCGATTAAATGAAAGGGCGGAAAAAAGAGAAAACTTGGAATTTTGAGGGAGAAAGATTATATACAGATAAGAATAAGGAATAAGAAGGATCGAACGATCGAATGATCCGTTTCATTTTGATTGTTTACAGTAACAAGTGCCTTAACGAAAAAAGACGACGGAACCAGGAGAACCTGTTTATCGATGAGCTTGCCGAGCTGATTTCCGCCACGGACATGAGCTCTGGCAAGACTGACAAATGCCAGATCCTTCAGAGAACCGTCGACCAGGTAAGAAGACAGATCTCTCTCTCTACCGTTTCTGCCTTTCAAATGGTTGATCGATAAACTCAACGGCGCGCGAGTCCTTCGAGATCCGATCGAACAACGTGTCATTTTTTTACGACACCTACCGTACGTAATCCAGCCTTTCCTTCGCTTTTTCTTCGAGAAAGAAAATTACCCAATCCCTTTTCCATTATATTTTACAACGCGTTTTAACAAATATTTCTATTCCCTTTCCCCGTTTAACGCTTTATTTCCTTTTATTCGTTTAACGTTTGATATAAAACGTTCTTTTTTTTCTCTCTCTCTCTTTAATCCTTTTACGTTTATTATTATCATGTAAAAACGAAAACGCATTAAAAAAAAAAGATAGATTAAACGGATAAATCTTGATTCGAAAATAACCTTCCTACAATTTTTCCAGACACAACACATTAACACCCAATGGTTTAACAAGCAAAATGTTACCACAACATTTGTTACATCACCGAGGATAATGTTGCAATTTCTTCCTTCCCGATCCTACCGACCTACAACGAAATCTGAAAGAAACGGAAGCGAATCAATTGTTAAATCAACGAAAGAGGGTAGCGTCGATTAATAAAAAAATAGCGGAAAGTCGTTGATTATCCGCGAAAAAGTAATAATAATAACAATAATAATAATAATAATAATAATGTGAATAATTCTCGTCGATACAGCTATTCCTTCGTTTTTAACGAAACAATTTTATTTTCAATTTTTAATTTCTAATAATCGTTATAATTCGATCGATTCTCGGATGATAATAACACGATTATTATTTTGGTACACCGTTCTTTTGAAAAAAAAAAAAAGGAGAAAGAAAAGAAAGGAAGGTTTTTTTTTATCCTTTTTATCCTTATAATAGTGCGAGAAAACGAAGCGGAGCACAACGGTTCCCTCGTTGTGTCGCACGACCGTTCGTATTCGATTTGATGTAAATTACAATCTGAATGTGGCAAATTTGAAAGAACATTTCGTTTCTTCTTCATTTCTCTATAGAAAATTTTCTTCGTAATCGCCTCCCTCGTCGTTCGTTTTTCTCCCTTCATCCTCTCGTCAATCTCGTTGATTTTCCGGTGAGAGATAGAGAGATAGAGAGAGAGAGAGAGAGAGAGAGAGAGAGAGAGAGAGAGAGAAGAAAAGAAAAAAAGTAAAC